ATTAGGTCTATCAGGAGACTGATCTCCATTTCAGTTAGTTCATTTCCATATTTTAAATTTCTATTTTAAAGTTTTAAATTAAATTTTTAATGTTTTAAAATTCTGTTGTAATTTTTTTTTTTTAAAGTCCTGATTGCCCATAACCCTTGTAGGTAAAAAACCCTGGAGGATTTATGGTTTATTCCTGTTAGATCTCAGTTTGGGTTCTCCCCATTTCCATTCCCTGAACAAAATTCCTGATGACTTTTGATTAGCTCTTCTCTTCTTTCCTTTATCCCTCCTTGTATTCCCCACCACCCTCATATCCCATCTGCTCTCTTCAGCACTGCCAACATCTCCCAAATGACGCCAGTCTAGCTGGGATTGCAACGCTAAAAAAGTCTCCATGTCTGGAAAATGTCACTCCTATCTACACAAATAACTAATTATCTGCTTGCCCTCTTTGTCTACATGCTGAGGAGGAAAGTAACCAACCAGACTGCTGTAGGAGTCAGACAGATTTCTCTCTCACTGAACTTCTGCCCAGTACTATTTTTGCACAGAAGAAATATGGAAATTGGATCTGATTCTTTAGCTGTCTTTTTGTTACCTTTAGTCTCATTACGTCAAGAAAGGGAGGAAAAGTGGAATAAAATGGTCCTTCAGATGTCATTTAATTCATAGTCCTGCTTTGTTAGGCTCTCAGGGCCAGGGGAAGACGCAGAGGTTCATATGAAGAGAACATAATAGCAGTGGTTTGCCAAGATAACCAACAGTTCCAGGGAGTTCAGATCTGCTGTTCTGCCACAATCCTGGCTTTTCTACCAGGAACTTTGTCACTCCACGAAGGGACCAGCCAATTGCATCAGCATCTTTTCTCTCTGCATGTAGCTTTAATTCTGCAGCCCTAACTCTTCCAAGTTTGCAGCTACTGAGCAAAGAAACAGAAAACAAGTGTATATTTTCAAGGTACTAAAAGGAAATAACTTACAACATGACTGCTTTTAAGGGAAGAAAAGAAAAACTTCTATCAACAGTAAGTGGATCAACATCTGATGATTGAAGTACTGATTTCTCTCTGTCACGGAAACCACATGCCCGTTATTGGATAAAGCAACCATTTCTGTAGGCCACGGCACATGAAAGAATTGTCAGATGATCCATCACAGCTGTTCAGATGTGTTCTCTTTGCCTACAGAAAAGATAACACTGCATGAAGGAGAGCACATTTGATGCTAACTGCCTTGAATGTTGCCAGGGATTGAGAAAGCACCTTATTTGAGGAAAAAAGTATCCTACAAGTGTAATTCAGTGGTCCTGGTACTCTGAAACAAAAGACAGTGTGATTATTTTCTCCAGATATACTCTTTTTTGGCCCAAGACTTTTTCAGTTAAGAAAGTCCCCAAGGATGGGGCACTGTGCCAATGCCACTGCCTGGCTGATAGCAAAAGCCATAGGCTACTTCAGGATTTCAGCTTTCCTTAAAAATGTAGGAGGGGAGTTAACAGCCTCAGTTTGGGAGTCATAAAATGTAACTCTCTGATATGAAATGGCTTACAGTGCCCAACAAGAACTATTTGTACTTCACAACAGAGATATAGCTTAAGTTGTACCCTTTCCATGGATTTTCTCCCCAACTGGATGCAATTGGGAGGATTCTTTTTCCACTCAGCTGGGAAATCTTTCTTGAAAGGCAAGTGTAAGGTTCCTTCTTTCATAACTTTTACGAAATGAGAGTAAGGCAGGGAAATGGTAGTGCTCCCCTTTTAAAAGGAGAAATACAAACAGATGAGGATGTAAAAATTACTACTGATATATTAGATCTGTCAGTTTTCTCAGGCAAAAGAAGAAAAACATGAAGATCCTCGTGAAAATACAGAGCATCATGCATTATCTTGCCAAGAAAAAATGAGCCCATCTTACTGATGAAGCTGGGAACAAGACTTTAAGTGGAAAGAATAAATGCAACTTCACCCAATTGCTTTATTAGTGAGCAGAATATGATCCTAATCTTTCAAAGTGTCCAAAAAAACCCCAAAAAGCCAAGATAAATGCACAGGGACAGCTATTCTAAAGGGAGTAATGGAAAGTGTGACTCTTAAAACCCTAATGGATGTTTCTGAGATTTCTCCAGTGGCATACAGATATGTTAGATGAAACAGATTTCAGTAAAGATATGATTTTATGCTGGCTAAAGGAGAGAACTGTTCATAAACTACTCAATGAATTGTGCAACATATCTTGTGCATCAACACACAACTCATCATATCAGTAATTAGAGGCATACGATTGCGTCTAAATCTAAAGATCAGCTGCAAGAGCAGACAATTCAATGCTCCTGTACTGCTAAGAAAAGCTTGATATCTAATGTGGGAACCACACTGCAAATGAAGGAATCCAAAAGTACATATGTTCATTTCCATGGAAATGTTTTGCATTTGCATTCTGCTTGAGAGATTACTGGCCTAAAGGATTCTTCCTGAAACTGCTTATGAAACGGCAACGTTTAAGTCATCCAGAGAGGATGCTGCATTTTAGGGCATGTCATACAAAGCTATTTCAGGCGAATGATGACTTCTAACTCTGAACTTTGTGCTCATCAGCCCTCTAGATTTTCAGAATGTGGCTGCTCAGCATTTTCTAAAAATCAGGCCCCAATGCTCAGATTGAGCATTCAAAAGTTAAGGTATGGATCATCACCAGACTTTGAAAACCTGATCCAAGTCCTATCTCTGCCGCCTTCTTAAAATATTACCATGTTCCTGTAATTGAAATATCTCTGTACCTCTAACAGCCCTGTGCTGCAGAGAAGAGCTCTCTCAGCTCCCATCTACAACTGCCAGGAAAACAAGGCACCGGTAGTCAGGGTGCCTTGCCCAAGACATCAGTAAAAGCCAGGCAGGGAAAGGATTGGAGTCCACCACACACCGCTGCTCCCCTCAAGCTAAACTAATTCTTGGTTTCCTTTATATTCTGTGTCTTTTTCAATGATTACTGGATTTCTCTATGCTGTTCTCCAAAGATGTAATCTGATTACAGTTTCTGTTCAAACTTTATTGTGATAACTGCAGCTGAAGCCTTGATATCATTGTTTAAATTTATCCATCTGAAAGCTTCAGCTCAACATTATTATTCTGACAAGAGTTTTTCTAGAAAGGGCTGATGAAATTAACTGAAGAGAGCCACAAATGAAGATTTTAATCAAGATTAATACCTGCATTGTTAAGGTTTGACAAGATGTATGAACACAGTGATGTTGTCATCTATTAAATCTTTTGGTCCTAAAAAAAGCACCAAGGCTTTGGCCCTACCTCTGTTCTGATGAGTGTGAGAGGGCTTTAATTTGGTGGGGTAAGCAGAGTGTTTCTCAATATTTCTGCCCAAAGACAGGAGGTAAAAATCTACTGGCAGAATCCCTGGATGCTCTGCAGGGATCCTCATACTGCCGAGCACTTGCATTTGGGTCTGTGTTTCTGAAATAACTTCAGTCCCTGAACAGATGGTTAATAATTATAAGAGGGGGGGAAAGTCTGTGTCCTCCAGCCGTCGGCCAGTGTCAGGGAGCAGCAACTGTTGAGCCAAGATCTCAATTAAAGTACAATCTACAGGCCTTTTTAGACCATTTCCACCCCTCGTAACTGATAAATTAATTCAGTGATTCTTCCCTGAGCTTGATGCTGATAATCCCCTCCTACCAATATCTTCTGATCAAGCCTGGGGTCCCCTTTCTTCACGTATGAGATACCTGCATCTGCTCCCCTTGCAGCATCTGGCCAACTCCCCTACTCCAACCACCCAGGCATCTGCTGGCAAGCCAAGGTCACCGTGTAAACAGCAGGGGATCAGGGAAAGGATCTGAGGATTGAAACAAAGTGAAGAATTGAGCCGAAAAAGCTCAGACACAAGGGGAGGAGAACTGAGAATGTTTTGGAAGGTTGTTAATTTTGCTTTCCAAACACATAGAGTAGTTGACTTGAAAATGTCAATACAAACTCTTCCCATACTGTAGCCTTTAAGCTTTCTGCTTCCAAGTTAAAGAACAGACATACAGCCCTGCGCTGACAGACAGCTAATGGGAGAAACTTTGGCAGAGAAAAATGGAAAGGAGCAGCTGAGGTCAGAGGTGTGGGTAACAGCTTGTGTTGGGTTTGTGTGGCAAGGTTTTGGCAGCGAGGGGGCGGCAGGAGTGGCTTCTGTGAGAAGATGCCAGAATTTGCCCCTATGTCCAATAGAGCCAACACCAGCTGGCTCCAAGACGGACCCGCCGCTGGCCAAGGCTGAGCCCATCAGCGACAGTGGTAGCGCCTCTGGGATAATGTATTTAAGAAAGGATAAAAAAAGCTGCACTACAGCAGCTGGGAGAGAGGAGTGAGAATATGTAAACCAACTCTGCAGACACCAAGGTAAGTGAAGTTGGCTGGAGAAAGACTCTTTCCTGATAGCTGACCTACTTTATCGAGTTTTTGCACTCATATAGACTATCCCTTCTTCCTCAGATGTTTCCACCTCCTTGGTGATGTCAAACCAGCTATGATGTAGCTATACTTTAACGCAGACATGAAAAACCTTGGTAAGAAAATAGAGGAAGGGGAGCAGGACTGAGCAGCTGGCAACAAAAGCATTCACAACTAGCCATAAATGTTTCTGAGGGTGAGGAGAAAGGACTGAGGTCTTTAATCCTTTTCTCTCTATCCTTCTCTCTATCCTATGTGAATTCCTGAACTGAAATTGCAGTCAGGTCACAGTGAGACAGTGAATTGCATTTATGGAATTTAAAAGCATATTCAGCCTCTCTGCAGCACTGCAGGCCTTTGCTTTTTGTAGGCTTGCATAGGAACTCAGCACTGAAGCAGCTAACCCCAAATGATTTGGAAAGCATTACATGTACATGAACACATGTCATTGCATGCCACTCTCTCCCCAGGGTTCACAAAAAAAAGCATCAACACTTTTTTTTAATCTTCAGGAAGAAAACTTCTGCCAATCTCCACCATTAATTGACACGTTTTTTCTTCTACAGCATTTTTGAACGATGGTTAAGAAGACACAGGCCCATGCTAGAAGTTTACCCAGCAGCCAACGCACCCATTGGGCACAATCGAGAAAATTACATGGTCCCCTTTATCCCCCTTTACAGAAATGGAGAATTTTTTAAACCCTCAAGAGAGCTGGGGTATGACTATGAGTATCTGCAAGAACCAGGTAATGTTACTGTTTTGAGTAAATGTCAAATTTGTTGCCTATAACCTGAATATTTGCAAGAAACAGGTAACGTTACTATTTTGGGTAAATGTCAAATTTGTTGCCTATAACCTGGACTATGTCTGTAAAATGAGAAGATATTAAAAAATCCTTCTATTCCAGATTTTTGTACCTGCTTGTTTTCACGTTTCTGGTCTGATGCAGAGTCAACATGATACCACTAGAAAAGTTCCAACCAAAAATCACTCAGTGACATCAGTCCTATCTATCCTAGCCTATTAAGAGCAGAACCTGACCCAAATGGTCAGCTCATGATCAGAACTGTGGAGAAAGATCGCTGGATTTTGAGTCTGCCATTTGCCCAGCTCAGCTGTTACAGTGCAACACAAATGGGAACCACTGGGATTTTCAGATTTCTGGACATGGTTCAAAGAAGGGCAGATGCAAAGCTCTCTTTCTAGTTTACAAATGTAATCTGATCCCTTAAATACCCGGAGTAAAATTCACCGTGGCACCAAAGGCCAACACAAGTTCTGTGAAGCACTTAAAACAGTGATCCATTGACTTTGTGATTGCCCTATGGTTATTTATATGAACACAACCTAATAATTCATAATGCTAATTTCATTTAATCAAATTAATTTTGCACTCTTTAATGATGGTTTTCACTTGCATTGCTGTTCAAAGATAGTTTTGAGTTGGGCATCTCGGCACAAGGAGGACAGAGACCCTTGGAGCTGTAGCTGCAGGGGAACCAGGTCTTGTGTTCAGAGTAGTGGACTTCATAGTTTCACTTGAGTAGTACAGGCCTCCTTATTGTCTACGGGAAGGGTTAAAATCTGTTAAAGATATAAAGTTGCCTGGAACTAAGGATTGCTCAGATATTTTGGCCCAATCCTTTATAAAACTGGGCCATTGGAATGATCAGATCTGTTATGTTCACCACTGCCAAAGGCTATGCGGCATGTGGGACGCAGTTATTCTTGCAAAGCATTCGCCACTGAACAGGTAGGTTACTGGCCATGTTTGCTGTCCCTGTTTGAGGCAGAAAACTTTCTGTGAACATGTCTCTTCAATTAAAAGGCAATTAAGAGCTGAAAGTCCAATTACTATATAGCAAAAGCACCAGGGATGTTTTAGTGATGCTAACATTCTTATAGCTTGCTTTTTGTCTTTATCAAAACAATATTAGTTCTCAGGGCATCCCTGCTTTTCTGACAGAGTTTGCTTACTAATGGGGGTGTATGGTTTCTGCATACATAAACTGTCCAATCATGCATTTATCTTGTTCATTCACTTCTCAAGTAAAACCTAGCTTGTGATTTAAAGTTATTCAGAAAACATGTTTTTGACTATTTTATGTGTAACGAAAGGAATCTGCAACTCTTCTGTATAATTGTTAAGGCTGTTTTAGTACTGCAACCCAGGGACAGAAGTCAATATTTCTCCTAAAATGCTATAAACAATTTGGTCAACCCCAAGTATTCAGACAGAAAATAATCTAATAAATGATTCAAATATAATTTTTTTATTCATGTTGCCATAATTTAATTCCTGATTAATATCAGAAATATTTATACATATTTTTAATGAAAGCCCCTAGTTTCCTGAAACCACATTATTCCTAAAATTGTACCACTAAAAAAAAGTGCCAAATACCATGACTTTCAGAAACACTGAGTCGTGAATTGGTACTGCAAAAGGAAGCAAATGGTAAACTATTTATCATTTAACAATTCACTTCTGTTACTTCCTGGTCTCTTCCCTTTTCCCGGGGGAGCACAGGATCCTCAGAAAATGAAATTCTTATTAAATTCTGCCCATGTTTTTAACACAGAGGTAAGGAAAGTAGTTCCTTAATTATTTTGAAAGATCAACACAAAGAGTGAAATTCAACCTTGCTTAGAAAGCCCAGATAATCCTCGGATGTCGCTCAACCCCTTGTTAATCTCACCAAGAAGAAGAGAGCTTAAGCTATTTCTTATCTGAAGGAAAGGACTGGAAATGGAAATGGAAATGGAACTTACAAATGGAAAATGGGCTGGAATCTCAAAATGCAGATATGGATTTTCTCAGTACCCCACTGTTTAAACCCAGACTTTTCTCCAGATAGGAATGCTGGGTTCCTGTTCCGAGGAACATAGGAGTGAACAGGAACTTCTTGGAAGAGGAGCTGAAGCAGGAAAGCCTGCTGACCCTCCCTGAAAGCTCCCATGTCCTGAAGAGAGAACAGAAAGTCTGTGACTCGCAGCCAGGAGTTACTAGAAAAATAGGAAAAAGTTACAAAGGGAAAAAAAAAACCATGGCAGTGAAGATCTGGGTGGTTGAGAAGAGGCAGCATTTTTGCAGATCTTCCAAACGAGGGGGAAGAGGAAAGGCGGAGGAAGAGGACCGGGCAGAGTGAGGAATGAGCGCACAAGACCTGGCTCCGTCCTGCCCTCAAGACCTGGCCTGTTTGCTTTTGGAGGGAAGCAGCAAGAGCAGCAGTTCTGAGTTACAGCACTAGCAACTTGGTAAGAGATGAAGCAGGACTACACAGAGCATGATGAGGCTAGTTACAAGAAATAAAACTTGGAAAGAATCCAGTGACAAAATGGCATTTTAATGCAAAATTATACTGTTGCTGTTCCCCTGAGGAAAAGCTGATGCCTGGAGCCCTGCTTTCCACTGAAAAGCAAATCAGTGTGTGACAGTATGTGGTTATTTTAATTGCAGCTTCATTTATTTTTATACATACGACAGCCCTGAAGCAGAAGTGGTCACAAACAGTGTGCGTGGAAATCCATCCCTCAGGAATCAAAGACACATGTCAGAGTCTACTTACTGGGGAGCTGATCTGAGCAGAAACCAGAGCAGACACCCAGCTTTCCTTGACATGAGAACCGTGAACTGTAAAACTACCACAACCCGCATGGCTTACTGAAAACGAGCATTTGTTAGCATCAATAAAAAAGATTTGGAAGACTAACGGCACCATCTAGCAATAGCTGTCAAAACAATTTTCTATGGCAAGAGCTATTCCAAGCACTTACATTTCAGGGTCTGGACTAAGTCTTTTCTATTTTATTTTTTTTCTTCCAGAAATAGGAACAGACAAATCCGTAGACACAGCATTGACTTTTCCGCAGAAAATCTTCCTCTCTCAGTGGGAACAATTTGATGACCACTACATGTATAGCCGGGTGATTTATATCTGTTTTGGAAAAGCAGGCAGCTGCCCAATTATAAACCCAGGAATCTAACCATCAGTTGCAATTTTTGGACATCTTAACTAAGGATCTTTGACACTGAGGGCAAAGCAAGGGATAAGAGCGTTGTGATTACAACGTAGAAGGCCAGGTTGCTCAGGGATGTGTTGCAGGAGGAGATCTCAGATCCAGAGTCTGACTGCAGCTCACTTCTATTTCTGGCTCTTGGTTGCAATTCTAGCAATTTGCTTGCAAAATCACATCCAAGCGAGTAGAAAATGTGGCAGCTGGCAAATATGGTACCACCATGGAGGGACTCCACTGAGCGTCCCGACTCAGGAGCACACACTGTTGGCCGCAGTGTGAAAGGGCGATGTTATGCATATAAGAGCCTATGATAAAATAGTGATGCTGGGACAATAGAAAGCAATTAAAGGTGACAGTAGTTGAGAAATGCTGACTTGGGAAGTGGTTTACATTTCTGAATTAAATAAAAGATGAGAAGAGAGCGTTTTGGCCCCTGGTTTTCTTCAGGCAGAGATAAGGAGGTGGGAGATTAAGGTTAATTAAAACAGAAGGAAAGAACCAAAGAAAACAGGATGAAAAAATATATCCTGCAGAAAAAAGAGTATGGGCAGATATTTTGATGGTTATATAACGATGCTTAATGGAAATACGGATTTTAACAACTGTTCGTTGTTTTTCTTTTTCATGGGAACCATTTAGGGGTAGGAAGTTATTAACATCCTAGTAGCATTTAGTGTGGTGATATCAGGTATCCTATAGCCAGATCTCACCTCTTTTCTGAGAAATTTATATAAGTAAACCGTGAAAGAGCGCTTATGAAGTGCAAGTGTTAACTGAGGTTGTCAAACAAAAAGTAAACAGTATTGCTCTATAAATACACACAGAAATATTTTATTTATCTCCTCTCAGTACTCCAAAGTAATGAATTTTTGCCAGTAATCCACTCTGCAGATGTGCCATCATTGCCAGAGAGTGGGCAGGACTCCACAGCAATGTTACTTCGCAGAAGTAACAGGCAGAGAGAACTCTAATCAACTTCAGCACTGAAAAATGAATTATAAAGCTGTTAGCCATGCAGAAATGGTCTGATTCTCACTGTTTCTAGAGACAGTCACATGATGGAGGGTGGGTCGTAGTTTCCTGATTTACCCACCTTGGGCTGAAGGCAGAACTGAAAGGGAGCAGCTGGAGTTTACACCATTAGATACTGTAGCTCTACCATAAACAACCCCCTGCCACCCACTGCGCGGCATCTCTTGCAGTCCAAAGACAGTGGACTATGGCTGACAGACTTCTCCAGATTTTCTCTCATTGTTGTCAGAAGACAGTGTTTCAAAAGACTTTCCAAGCTGCAAGGAGACCCTGATTAAGTTAGTGGGAGCTGTGAACTTTCCATCACTGCAGAGACAAGTGATCCTGCCTTAAGACAGACTGAGGGACTCAATAACTTGAATCCCTCCCAGCCCATCTTCCTAGTTTTTGATTGTGGAAGTCTCACTGGTATTTCCTTTGACCACCCAGAGGGACACAATCAGTAAATCACACACACACAAGAAATGGCAGAAACCAAATAGAAAGAACTTGCTCACCAGGATAAGAAAAAAGTTGCAAACTTGACCTAATAAGATATGTTTGTGCTGCCTCAAGGTTTGCTTTAAAATCTGGTGCCCATTAACTACCCATGTTAGGGGTAAAAAGCACGTGAAATGGAATAGCAAGACTGCCAACATATCAGTGGGGCACATGGCAATAGATAAATCATGGAAAAGTTGTTTTGTTTATTTCTTGACTGGCCAGAGTTTTTATTTCTAAATTGTGGAATTAACCCTGGAAAGACTTTGTCATCCTCTAGTTTACATAGAAGGAATATCCAAAATATATAAATTTTTTTTAAAAAAAAATTAAATATTAAGGTTTTTTTCATCCTTGGGATCCATTAGATCAATAATGTAGTTTGACATTACCACAAAAGGAAAATCTCAGGATGCCCAGTAATAGATTGACCATAGCACGTTTCTTCTTCAATCATCATGGAAAGTCCACATTATTACTCTAAATATAGGAGACACACATTTCTTCACCTTAAAATTACACTGTTGTGGTTTCCTACCCTCTCAATGACATCCAGCAACCCCCCCAAAATGGACTGCCTGGTATTTTTAAACTACATTAAAAAAGAACGATCTGATATATTAAGAGTAAGAAATTATTTGTTGCTGTTACCTAGAGCTAACACTCTCTTTGAGAAGAAAGAGTATGTCAAGAGTTAAATGCTAAGACCATGGCTGAGGTTAATCACTACTATTTTCCTAACAGAAAGAGCAAGATGAGGAGATATTGTTGGTCTTAGTCACTAATAGGAGGGTAGATATCAAGCACCAGCCCGACCTGCCTTCCTCTTGCTTTGTCGTGAACATACTGAAAGGGCAGTTTTAATCGATGTTCATGGCAGCTTCAGGTGAGGATTACCATTTGACTCCAAATACTGATATAAAAGGAATGGAATTGGCGTTGGCTAATGCCTCCCACAAAGCAGCTATTTGTTGTTGTCCCCCCCACCACTCCCTTGACACTTTTCCAAGGTAGTCATCAGCAAACACAATTGCTGCACTCTTGGGCCTTTCACAGTTAGAGATTAAAGAATTATGGTAATGGAATACTTGAAATCCCTGTTTGCATGATTTTGGCTGGGCAGCCAGTCCAGTCATAGGTTTACTGTTGTGTTAGAGTCACAGATTAACAGATTATAGGGTGTCCTGGGGTGCTCCATCCTCTGACACCCAAGAGTTGCCATGGCAACTTTACGATAGTGATGCCAAACACCTTTTGTGTGGCAAAAAGAAACAGGCAGTAGATGCCAGGAGGTGGCTTTTGGCTTTGAGCTAATTACAGAAACTGTACAGACTGAGGCTGAAAGAAAGAGAAAGGCATGTTTGACTGATTATCAGGATATAATAAAATAGATTAATCCCTTCTGAAAGGGCCTGCCGTGAAATGTGACATCTCATCATCTCGAAGTCATGTTATGTTTTACCAAGAAGAAGATAGCTCAGACCTCCAACTAATATTGATGGAGGAGAGAGATGGTTCAAGGACGAAGTAGGATTTTAAGACATCACTTAGAAAACCTTCATATCCCAGCTAAATTCTGCAAGGAAGAGAACTTTGTGATAATTCTCTTTTTCCATAACATTAAAACAGTATCAAGTTCCTGTTATGTATCAATTTTCTTTTATCATATGCATACTGCAGTTTAAATAGCCAGATTGTTTCTAATTTAGACGTTTGCAATATAAACATAAAAGAGTTGAGTTAAAAAACATTGGAGTTACAAAGTCAAGCACACAAAGTTAAGAAATGCCAGCATTAAAGTTGTCTATATAGCCATAATTCACCCTCCACCTCTACACGTATGCGTTATCTTTAATTGCACACTATTTTTTCCCCAGACCCCCACCTCATTCACTCCACAGCATAGACAACATTCATTAAGAACCGGATGTCTAATCCTTTTTACTTTTGATTTTCGTTTTCTCAGTTAAGCAGCATGTAGCCTAATGTATGATTTATTGCACACTTTTAAAATGCTATCATGAAGATGTTTCCTCTAACACTTTTCTTTGGTGCTGATCACTATAGCAGCTGAGTCCTGCAGAAATATTAATTTATATTCACAATACAAAGGATTCAGTGAATGGTACCGTCCTCATTTGACAGATGAGAAATGAAGGATTAAAGAGATAATGTACCTCATACCCAAAGGTTTGTGGAGTTCACTCTGAAACATCAAGAACCTAATTTTTTTGTAATTCTTAGTGTTATATAGCATTTATATGTCTAATGAGGTCAGAAGCAGAAGGCTGAACATGCAGATTCTTGCAAATACAATCTCAGAATACAAAGTTGGATTAACTGGAAAACAAGGATCAGAGAGATAGCAACCAAACATTCCCCAAAGTGAAACTGAGTTGTAGGGACAAAAAAACTACATTCTGCCTAAACTCAGCCTAAAATGGCATTATACCTCAGAAAGTGACTCAGACATCAAGTGCTAAGGATAGCTTAACCTTAAAGGTGCTGCAAACCAAAAGCATCTTTTCAGAGCACAGTGCACATAACAGCATCCACTCAGAAGCACCATGATCCAAGAAGATACATGGGATTACTTTTCTGGGCACCAGTGAAAATGCAAGATGGAGGAAGACGTTTATAGCCTTTGTGGGGGTATAACACACTAAATATGGTTGAGCACATCTAAATCAGTCCAGATGCATGAACACTATTTAAAAATAAACCACAATAGGGCGTCCCTCCATAGGGGTCCCCTTTTCTTTCTCTAATAGCTAGTAATTACAGCTAATAATAGCAATTACAGCTAGTAATTGGGAGATATGGATTCCAAATCCTCCTTGGCCCAAAGGGACAGGTATTCCCATTTCTCAAATTCAAGGCAACAGGTTGTTGGGTGCACTACGAACAGGTCACTTTCCAACCTCTACCGTGAAGTGAGAGTCCTGTACAGCAGGGCTTTCATAACTCATTAAGCCATTGAGAAAAACAGAGAGACACACACACACACATTCATACCACAAAGCAAGAAGGCAGCTGATTATCTAACCGGTGGGAAGTTGCCCTGGATTCACCAAAAAAAGAGGATTTCTTGTGCAGAGAGTGGCCAGAGAATTGTCTACTGCCTCTCCCCACACAAGAACTATCAAATGAAACGAGCAGGGGGCACGTTCAAAATTAGTGAAAGGAAGCTTTTTTTTTCCCACTCAGTATGTAGTTAAGGCAGGGATCTCCTTGCTGCAAGAAGTTGTGATAAAAATTCAAAGAGCAGCTAGAAAAGCTGATGGAAGGAAAAAAAAAAATCCTCCAATGACTATTATACACAACGACACCACATCTGGTTCTGGAAATCCCTGAGCATAGTCTTACAGTTTTGACAAAACCATAAAGAGCACTGGGGACAGTGAACTCTATTCCTGCCTTTAATATGAAGACTGAGAAACAGACTGTAAGGATTGAAGAGATTTGTTCAAAACTCTTTGTGACCTTCAGACAATTTCTACCAATGTAATCTCTTTTTTCACTCAGCCTTCCAGTACTATCTGTTATACAACTTCTATAAACAGACAGTACATTACATCATGTAAAAGCACCTCTCTTTTTCTGTTGTTTTTTTTTTTCCCCCAGCAATTGATTCTTTCCAGGAGTTTTTAATACCCTACCTTGAGCAAGCCCGTGAGATCTGGGCTTGGTTGGTTGGAGCAGCTGTGGTTGGAGGCATCGTTACTGCTGTGCTCACTGGGCTCATTCTGGCCTGCCGGAAGAAAAGAAGAGGAACTTCTTCAGAGATACAACCCTTGCTCACAGAAAGTGAAGATTACAACAATATATCTTATCAGTCCAATTTCTAGAGGCCTCCAGTAACTCAGTGATGTTACTAAGGTGCTAATCAAGCATGCAGTGTTCGATTCATGTTTACAAATACCTTGTTGAGGTGTGCTGCATAAGCAGGCTGGAGAGTCTTGCTCCTCAAGCCTCTTGTAACTTCCAGTGTTGTAGTATCTTATCAGATGAACTCCTACAAAAATCTCCCAGATCCAACATAAGTTACCACGCCACCTAAAGAACACCATGTATTTCCTATGCTTGATTAAATAATGCTCCTATAAAACCAGACCGGCTCATGTGTTGGTGGCTTTAATGTATAATTCTCTGCTCTTTTATTTGCTCTTTTACAGCTGTAGGCTCTAATCCAGCAGCCCAATCCATGTAATTTGTGCATGGATTTAGGTAGAGGTGCCTGACTGCACCTTCAGTGCTACATTCACTCTGTGTTTGAATGTAAGAGCAGAAAGAGCCCTTTAATTTAGTAAGCAAAATATGTGGTGTCTCCGAGCAGAGTGAACGACCCACAGACATATTTTTCTTCTAGGATAGAAATATTTTCCCTCTAGTTCCCATAATGTCCTGTTTGTCCTTCATTGAATGCCATCAGCAGCAGAAAGTTGGCTCTCAGAAACCTCTTCTCACTTGTCTCAAATGCTCCAGTTAGTCTTCTTCTATACCGTCTTGCATTCGTCTGGGGAGCTGAGAGGTTTTTAGGAGATGAAACCTAGTCTCACCGTCTCTGCCTCTGTTCAGTTTCACTTAGCGATTGCTCATATTATGGTTAACTTTTGGTTGCTCAGTATGCATATATTCCATACAGGTAATCCTTACATAACAAAACAAGGTGTGGTGGGTTGACCTTGGCTGGATCCCAGGTGCCCACCAAGCCGCTCCATCATTGCCCTTCTCAGCAGGACAAGGGAGAGAAAATATTACAAAAGTCTTGTGGGTTGAGATAAAGACAGGGAGATCACTCAGCAATTACTGTCACGGGCAAAACAGACAGGACTCAGGGAAATTAGTTTAATTTATTGCCAATCAAAAGTCAGAATAGGATAATAATAAATAAAAACAAATCTTAAAACACCTTCCCCCCACCCCTTCCTTCTTCCCGGGCTCAACTTCACTCCCAAATTCTCTACCTTCTCCCCATCAGTGATGCAGAGGGATGGGGAACGGGGGTTGCGGTCAGTTCATCACACATTGTCTCTGCCGCTCCTTCCTCCTCAGGGGGAGGACTCCTCACACTCTGCCCCTGCTCCAGTGTGGAGTCCCTCCCACGGAAGACAATCCTCCACGAATTTCTGCAACATGGGTTCTCCCCATGGGCTGCAGTTCTTCACAAACTGCTCCAGTGTGGCTGCCTTCCATGGGGTGCAGTCCTTCACGAACAGACTGCTCCAGCCTGAGTCCCCCACAGGGTCACGAGTCCTGCCAGCAAACCTGCTCCAGCGTGGGCTCCTCCCTCCACGC